CTGGATTGGGGAACTTGTCAATTAACTTTAAGGTTCAATGGAGCTAAAATACTGCCTCATATTAAAAAAAGTGACTAGATACTTGATATTGGTCCGCAATTATGATCAAAATCTTAATACCATATAAGTCTTCTATTTTTTTAAATCCAGTTAAACATAGGTATACTTGTTAAGTACATTAATTACAAGCACCTTTTTTAGAACTTTAATTTTTTGTATCTAGATCAATTTATAGATTCGTATGATATGTCTGATGTCATTCTATATTATTATATCTACGTATATTTATGATCAGTCTTAATAAAAAAATAGGTTTTTTTCCTGTAAAGAAATTTGGAAGCAAATCTTCTCGTTAATATTTCCTGAAACAAAGTAAAATCGATAGGTAAAACATTTTCCAGTAGGTAGGTACGCAAAGTGACTTTTGGTTTACATAAAAAAATAAAAGAAACCCCCAAAGAACAGCTTATTTTCTTCCACCAAACGACTTGTCTGTTCTTAATGGTTTTTTTAATTTTGTTTTCTACAATAGGTATGCGCCATCCGGTGGATCGATCCCTTTTGCATTCCAAATTGTGATTCGCTATATTCCGATGAGAATCTCTTATTGGAAATACGAATTGCCTGATGTTATCAGAAGTTTTTCGCCAGCCCTACCCTCGGACCTAAGCATTTTCCTCGATTTGTTTTATTCCGACAAACTTTGACAAATTATTTTAATTCCGTTACCGCTGCGGAATGAATTAAATTTTCGCGATCAGTTTCAACTATACAAAACGTTTTATATACCAGTCGTGTCGCTCCATATACATTGCAGGGAAATTCGCGGATATAGATATGGGACAGGAACAACTTTTGATATAACCTATAGACGTATTTTATTAATACGCTTGGTAATATTTTTAGTTTCAATATATTGACGTTATTTAATTATACTAAAAGATACCTATTTTACTCATATTTTTTATTACAATATACTTATAGGGGTAATATTACCACAAGAACGTTTTCCATTGAAATTGAGTATAGGTAATTTTTTATCGCGAAACAAAACAGGTTTATTAGGAGTATACACTTAGAAGCAGAGCCTATGTATTATTCAAGACAAACAAGCCGGCTCAAATGTTCCGCGCTTCGGGCTATGGCCTCCTCCTCCAGATTTGCCTCTCCGAAGCCGCCGCTACGTACCCCGAACATTATAAACCAAATTAATCAATAGAAACTTCAGAGAGCGTTTTGCGCTGCAAAAAGTTTAATCTAAAGTTGTAATAAGATTACGATTATTATTTGATATTTCTTGCGTTATACAATCGTAATTTAGGATAAACGCTTGGTTTTCAAAAATCGTGGTATAAGTAATTGAATATCTATGTATGCCTATTAAAAATCTTATTGATTTGAATTTTTAATGGTCGCTATTCAGAGTCACAGTCGAACGGTTAATTCAATATCAATCACATTACACAATCACAGTGTAATGTGAATATTGATATAGCCTTTATTATGTCGGTATCGAAAAAAATACATAAAAAAATGCATTAGAATATGATGAGAATAAATGAAAAATTAGGTAACGACAGTATGCTCTTCTCTTCATAAATTTTGCGCAACAATCATCTACACTGATCGTTCCTGCGACATCGGATACATTCCCAGTACCGCTGGCAGATGAACGAGGATCTGCCAGACACGGCATATCGATTAGCTAATTTTTAATTTTGTTTTTTGTGCTTCTCACTTCTCACTTCTCACCTAACGTCTGAAAAGGCCAATGTTCGCCTAATCATTTACAATCCCTATCATCACTTACATTTTTTACGGAAAATGTATCAGACATAATATACGGAATACCAGAGGGGATGGATGCTAAACGACGTGCTCGAGTATGAGTTTCGACGGTGATATTATACTTTTTAAATACTTTTGTATTTTTTTGGAAATATTTGGAGAGAATGTGGATATCGTATGCTCGACGGCATATTTTCTAAAAATGTCTGTTAATGTTGTAAATTAACTTTCATGATTATTAAAAAAATATTAAGATATAATATTAAAAACAATTCTAAAACTCACACACATAGAGAAAAATACATATTTTATTGTATTATTTTTTAATAGACATTTATTCTTCATTTACGACAATTAATGTTTTGATTTAATGTATATGCTGAAGAGTAATTCAATTGATTTGTTACGAACCCATTTGTTATAGTATAAAAATAATATTAAGAAAATAAGGTATAGGCGTTATTCGGATTTTCCGGGAAAATATCGGGTTACGACCGTGAGTACGAAGATGAAGATCAATCGGAAACGTCGAAATGGGGTTCTCACCCTCTATTGTTGACCGGTGACACGCAGCATTGGACCGTCAGGGTTTATTTCGATTTCTCCTTTCGTCGACGATTTGAAATTGTAAATAAGAGCTTAGTTGGCCACTCAAATAGGTCATCTACTTTATTTGACGTTTGAAAGCGCCGGCAAACGTAGAAAAAGACGATAATCAACTTGAAACGCCATTGTGGCCGGTTGAAAAATGGCGATACTTTGCTGCAGAACACTTTGTATCAGATAAAGTGATTGTGATTTATGTTTAGAGTTGAAGTATTGTTTCTGCAGGCGAGGCATTTTTTGCGATGACCTTACTAAAATACATACATTATTAACTTTAACGAAAAAGCTTTCATTACTTTTTGCATACTTTCAATTTATTAAACTCCGAAATTCTTTACACACGAACTGAAAACCACTTTTTAATTTCTTCGGATGAAACGTACTTATAAGTCCTTAAACTCTCCCTTGCCCTCGCTACTTAAGCGATGATTAAGAATCTTCTCCTTTTAAAAGTAAAGAGAACGAGTCCCGATAGAGTGACAGCAATTTCCTTTTTTTTTTCTTTTAAAACTTCAATATTGCAGTAGTGCAAACAAATTGTGTTTGTTACTGTTTGGTGTTTGGGAGTGAGGAATGGTTAATGCATTTAAGAGTAGAATTTAAAGTGGATAAAAGTTTCAGCCAGAAACGTTTTACCCTGGAAAATTGGATGGAGTTTGTTGACTCTGCACAGTTCGAGGTAGTTGTTATTAGATACTTACTATACGTATTTTTATAAAATCGATTTATATATTTAGTTAGGTACTTAGATTTTCAAAATGAAATGAACTTATTTTATTTTAATTCAATTAGGAATATTCAGCGGAAAATTGTGCTAGTTTTATCCAACGCAAATACAAATTTTACCACAGGAAAGTGTGTCCCTGGTTGTCTGTAAAATGAAGCGAGAGGGCAGAAAACAGTGGATCACACAAAGCAGTTGAGTGGCGAAGATAACTGGGGAGCTATTATCCAGATTATCCTTTAAATGGAATAAATGACCATGAGGGGATATCTGACTCGTTTCTCTGCACCTTATCTATTTTCTTTGAATGCTTTAAATTTCTTATTTGTGCGCTGTATGCAAATTGATGCCATTTTACCAACATTATAGTAACAATATTTATTATTTATGTATACTATAGCAACTATATGATACGTAATACAAAAATTATATAACGAAGATATATAATTTTTTTTCACAAATTAAGGTCATATCTCTTATTAATTTTAAATGATTTCAATTTTTTATACCAGGAACAAGGAAGGGTCGTTGATGAATATCAGATTATTTATTCGGGAGCCTCTGCGTACCTTTTTAATTAAGTGATATCAGAACTAAAGTAGTAATCTTTTCGTTTCCAACCGAACCCGAGGATATTAATGAATATTAGATAAAAAGGTCGTAAATGCTCAGAGCTCATATTCGCCATTAAATAAACAAGCTCATTTAAATGTCTGAAAATAAAATTTTAAACACTCAATTCCTCTTCGTTTGTTTTACATGTTCGCTTATTTCACAATTCGTATTGAAATTAAAAATTACTTGTAAATATTCATCTTTTTTTATTCCAATTGAGTACCTTACAATTTTAAATAAGCTCATGTTTAACTCTATTTTCCCCTTGAATGAAAATCTAAATTAGGAGATGATGGTATGATTATAGCGTTTTTTCACTGAAAAATAACGTCGCGTTCTACCGAAAATATTGCCCACGTGGCATGAATAACTAAGTAGAGTTGCGCCTCCAATATTAGTATACATGTTTTTCGATTCCATCAAAAAAGAAACCCGGATGAAATATTAAAGGGAGTTAATCGAGCCAGTCACCAATGTTGCGCCATCCAATAGCAATAAATTAGCAGATAGCGTCGAATATCGTTCTTGGTAATTTGTCTCGAAAGAGACTCGTTCATGAATATTATTTTTGTCGCAATAATATAAAAAATTACAGCATTTTGCGATATTATCATAAACTTCACTCGTTTGTAAGAATAAACTTAGAACTTCCAATTGACTGCGCCAGTTTTGATACATTCACTAAATATGTTGTATTATAAATTTGGGGATTTTATTATTTATTTCAGACACTTTATAATGTAGAAACATAACTATAATACTTAAATATTGTATGATATACATTTAAGTAAATATTTATCCGTACAAAAATTATTCCGAGTTTATGTAACTAAATTAAGAAACTATTTTATCGGACGATTGGAAGAAGTTTAAATGCCAATATTAACAATCTTTATTTTATATAATTCGATAATTTAAAATTTAATTGTATTTGTTTATCACAATTATTAATACATCAACCGCTGATAATTATTTAAAAAACGCTTAAGAATAATTATAAATCATCAAACTTGTCAACAATGATGTGTTTTGCTTCCGTTATTGTTTATCATTAGTTATTAATAAACTAGCCATAATAATTATCTATTATTTTCAAAAATGTATTTCCTAATTGATCCGGTACATTTAAATGCAAACAAAACTAAAAAATGTTACGAAGATTACATTACGATTTTTTTATTAATTCAGTTCCTTATTTACTTATTAGTAAACAATTAGTTGCTGGGAATTTCGCAATAATTCTTTCATTTGCTTTTTTTTGCTTCAGGATGATGGCACCATGAATCACGACGTAGACGGTGATGGTGTTATCAATTTATCTACGTCACAACGACCGTCAGCAGCGACAACGCCCAATAATATTCTTCCATCTATTAAAACAGAGCCGGTGAGTGATAATAAAATTACTGCATTTTTCAGCCAATTTATGTTTTATTAATCCATCGATGTTCGAACGATTTTCAATGCACCTATTGGGCGCACTGTAGGCATTCTGATTTTCTGAATTGTTCTATGAATGGTTGCAAAATTCGGTCAGTGGGTTTAGATACAGTAAGATCCCCATCTCCCGAGCCGACTGTATAAGGGCTAGGGGGAGCGAAGCGCAAAAAGAATAGGGATAGAAATACGGCGCTGATAGTGGTTGTCCTTTCTAATCAAGACGGTTCGGTCGGGCTGCGGGCTGTCTACCGCTGCCGCTGCACAATCCACCGCCTCTTGCTTCTTCCCATTATCGCGTGCCAGCGTCGTAGGAAGATTCAAATTCTGCAAAAAATAATAATAAATTAATTTAAACCTCACCATCTAATGTTTATTTGCGAAGTGTGCACACCGAATTGTTATTAAAATTTAACCTGAATATATGGAAGCAAAAATTAATAAATATCCTGCGATAAAATTATTCGAGATGCAAATGTCGCAATCGCAGCGATTCCGCCACAGTCACAGTCGATTTTATCCGACTGACGACTCTCTATATCGGGGACATCTGGCCCGAACTCTTTTAATTAAGATGAAAAATCCAAATGCATTAACCGGTGGAGACGGAAGAGGAGCAGGACGAGAGACCGGAAGAGGAAGATTAAGTAAGCGTCATGGGCGCCGCATTTTCGAATGACTATACGAAAGAGATTTGTCGTTGATAAAAAGGAATTTGAAATCTCGAATCGATGCATTTACTTGCACTGGGAGTAATTACAAAAGGGTTTGTGGATAGGATTAATTATTGGGAAAGTAGTAGATAAGTAATTCATACTCGTATGTTACAATTGATATTTATACCTTTTTGATTTATAATAATTGATTTATTATCTACTAACCAAATTAACTAGGTAGCAGGTAATGGTAAATTTAATAATCATGATGCAAATTCAATTATAACGTGAAGCATAGTAGGCTTGTTGAATGTTTGGCGTCCAAATAAAATAATCTACAAAATAAGAGCTACAGCTAGAAGCAACGGACGATGGCAGTGGCGATGGCGAGATGTCGGTGTTGACGTTTTGGGATGTTCCAGGCATCGGTCGCCGCCGCATGCAAAGACTAAATTGAATTTGGGACTGGCCAGCCTGTTTGGATTCCAGAATGGTTGTTTAGTTTGCCGGAACAAAGAAAACAGCCATGTGTTTATTCTGCTTGAAATAGCATCTATTCCCTGACTCTGCCCGTCTATGGCTCTCTCTCTCGACCTCGACCGCGGCTCCCCGGCTTCGACGAGAGAGAGTCCGAGAGCCAAACGGTGTAAACACCTCGCCACCTCGCTTCGTTTGGATTTGGCTTGCCTGGCCGCTCTCGTGGACGATGTTGATGATATGACGAGATACGCGTATTTTATCCAACAGTCTTCCAGCGTCGGCGTCACTTATTATCTACCATTTTTTGTTAATTACCTATCATCTCAAAATTATTTTATTATTAAAGGATCAATAATGATCCTTTGAAGTGCAACCTCGGTAATTACAATGCTCTCTTAGAGTTCCACATTTATTAATAACAAAAAGTAAGCGTCGGCGTTTCTTATTATTATCTACCATTTTTTGTTAATTACCTATAATATCAAAAATTTTTAATATTGAAGAGGATTAACAATGATCCTTTGAAGTGCAACCTCGGGATTTACAATGCACTCTCAGAGTTCCACATTATTATTAAATGATTATTAATAAACTCTGAACCTCTGAAAAAAATCCTCTGAAAAATTATTTCATGGTTTATTAATTTTTCTGATTTATTTGTTATAATTTAATTTTAATGAGAAAACGATTTCCTAGGGGCGAGTCCATTTCTGACCGGTCGCTTCGAAAGCCATTTGTATCGCAAACACTATTGTTCTTTTGCCTCCGGCCTCCCTTATTTTCGTATACTTTGTCTTTTTTTTCGCTAAAATATGCCGAAACGAAACACGACAGAAAGAAAAAAAACAGCAGGAAAGGGTCACAAAATGCAACGTGTTCAAATTTATTTGCTTACTTTCAATTCAAAGTGGATTAGGATAACAAAAGTGGGGGAGGGAAAGTTTTTGAAGGGAAATATATTGATGAAGCATTCCATGACTAAAATGTATAAAGTAATTAGGATTGGGATTCCCTTTTATATTTGATGCGATTTCTGGAGATAATCGAGGGGGGAATTGTAGGAAAAAAATGGGAGTCTTATAAAGTTTGAAATGGCAATAGTATTTCATTAATTGTAATTTAGTGTTTTATATGAAGAAACGCGAGAAACTTAAAAAATGATTTCGTGTAATAAATCGAGTAGCAAACTTTTCCGAGTTGATGGATGTTTCCAATAAACTTTTCCAAGTCCAAAATTAAGATATTGGCGTTGTGTAATTAGAAATTAAGCTAATTGTGCATTCTTTCTCTTCGGGTCCGGACGGGCGAGCATCGACACCCAATGCCTGCTTTAATTAAGGGACTTTTAACAAATGCCAGGTGCCTTCTGTTCACTTCGCACCTCCACTTAGTGTCAAAATTAAAAAGCGGTTTTAAATATAATTCAATGCGAATTCTGTGAACTTTCCTTCATCATTTAACTGTCGCCGCCCGTTTTAAATTGAAAACAGAAACTTTTCCGACATTCTTTTATTGAATGCCATTATTTCTGCGCTTAGTTGCAAGGATTTTCAACTTCCTGTATTTTTCCTTGATCTTAATTTGATTTTTGAACTAACCGTTTCCGTACTAACTTATATTCAAAATCAATACCGCTTTATTATTACTAATTGATAATATAAACGTTTATTGTATACTGTACAAGTACTGAAGTTTCATTCCATTAAGGACACACTGTCACAAAATATTTATCTATGCAATTTTTATTACGTTTTTTGAAGATTGGACATTGCTAGCTCCCAATTCGATGCCCAATTAATCGTCTGCAATCAACAACTGAAAAAACGTTAGAATTGTTTTCATTGTTGAGATATTTCACGAAATAAAGTTATTGCTGATTGGGCGTGTTTACTGTCGAAGTGAAACGGCAAAGTGTACTTAGGCAAAAGAGTGCAGGAGACTGTAAAAGCAATTAAATAGGGTATTGTTTACCAAAAGTGTAGCTGGAGTATTCGATATGCGTTAGCCCTGGCTCTCTCCGTATCCCAGTTTATCATAAGCGCCGGCAAATGGGGATTTTAAAAAGTTTTCTTACAGTTTGTTAGCTATAAATTTCCATAAATTAAATTGTTGTAAGATATTTTAAATAATGAAAAAATTGCGTTTTATACAATTACGATAATAAAATTATCTTATATGTGGAAAAAACGTATTAGAACCAGCGCCCCTGTTTGAGGAAGCGGAATTTGAAAATCGGGATCGAAAAGGGGCAACTAAGTAGAAAACTTGAATAACGTTTCGTTTGCGCGTCGGTAAGTTATTTTCGGGGTATCTTGCTTGCTTTGTTTTATCGAGTTTATTTTCCATGATTACCGCAATAAATTGATATAAAAAGGAGGCAGTGGAAGGTCCTAAAACGTGATATAATGTATTTGGGATACATTAGGGATTTGAGTTATGTATATTGGGAATCGAACCTGCAACCCTGCAATACTTTGCTCACTTTACTAATAATAATAAGAAAATAAATCGTTAATAAAATTACGTCGGTATATTTTTAAACGCGTGAAATCGCTCTAACTTTCTTTTTATTCCATCTTTATTCTCCTCGCGCTGTTTTCCACATGACCGCGTTCCATGTGTCACTTCTTAATGCTTTCGAAATATATGATCGGGGGTGGTGTAGCGAAGGTGGAGAAGCCATCACCTACTGACAAGAGATTCTCATCGATAAGAGAAAATAACTAATACAAACAAGGATTTACTCAATATTGCTTTCATATGCGTCTGGGGAACGATTTTCATCACACAGGGCCGACTAAAAACTTATTTCTCGTTTCTGTATAACACACTCTATTCAACCAACATCTTGCAGATATTATTATTACTTACAAAACGTGATAATTAATAGAATGCAGATGAGCCTAAGAAAAAATATTCAAGTGTTTAGTGTCAATATTAAAATTCGAAATGAGATTCTTGTTCGGTCCTGTGCAAATCTGAAGCAATTTTTCTTTACACTCGGCGGGTTTTCGTTCTTGTTTGATATAAGCGTTCATTCAGTTCGCGAGCTTAATGGTTATCGATATTACGATAGCTTTATCCATACATGATGAGTGACATATATTGTATACCCGATGACTTATAAAAAAATTCTGTAAAAAAATGGAGATGCTAAACCGAGCGAACGCAAATCGGGTTTTTTTGCATTTTTATAGTTTTAGATTTTTGATTTTTTATGCCTCTAAACCACGCAAGTTGAGGGGTGATATTTATACAACCAATTTCTGTAAATGAAAATTGTAGAAATCTCTGTGTAAAACCAGATCAATGCGTACAATCATTGAACACCGTCAATTTTACTAGCAGCCGTTTCTTGGGTGCTTTGTTGGCGCGAAAAGCATTAACGACATTCCGATCATTGCAAAGTCGGCTTAAGGGCTTTCCTCCGAGATAGTGTTACGGCTATCACTCTTAAGTGAGATGTAATTTTCTTTAGATACAGGGAGTATTAGCGGTTCATTGCTGTCTCGCAGTGTATTCCGCATTTTCCTTTTATCTATATGTAAACGAAGCTCAATTGATGGGATGGGAATGCAATCGATAGGATTATCGCTGGAATTCGGAATTTAAATAAATAACGCGTACATTTTACAGTTTTTTATTGGAGTTAATTTATTGGATTTTTATTTTCGCCTTGAAATTAAAATGGCCACCTCTTCTCTTCCTGCTAGCAGGAACCGTCGGCATCGTCGCCGCCGTTTATTTCTATAACAAAAAGACAATAAGAGCGTTGGCTAACAGCAGTATTTGTTTTACAGATGGATTCCGAAAC